CGTGCGCGTCCACGTGCGCGTCCCCTCCGTGGGCAGGAATCTGGAGCTAAAACGGCCTCAGCTCCTCTGGGAAGGCTGTCCATCACAGTCTGGATCCAGGCTGAACGCTAATGAGGTCTGGACCTGATTGTTGGGGGTTTTGGGTACGGGTGACGGGGTCAAGAGGGTCTGGACCACAAAAGCTGACCCGTCCCACCGTGCAGATCCCGGTGAAAGTCGGGATAAAGGAAAGCCTGCACACCCGTGCACTCCACTCCAAATCTGTGCAAAAGAGCACAGGAATCAATCAATAAATCAATCAATGTTTATTTACTGTATATGGCACTTTACAACAACCGGAGCTGACCAAAGTGCTTTACAGAATAAAAACAGATCAAACTATCGAAATAAACAAAGACAAACATGCACAAACACAAACACAAACACATCGGTGACAGAACCCAGTATACAGAGATTTTACGTGCAAAAAGCCATCCTGAACAGATAAGTTTTAAGTTGAGCTTTGAACAGTGGCAGTGGTCAGTAAATGATCGTAACTCAGTGGGCAGAGAGTTCCACAGTTTAGGACCTGCCACTGCAAAATAAGTGATCTGCTGGGCTGGTGAAACCTCAGAATTTCACTTATTTATAAAGGCTCGCAAAGGAACAATACAAAGGAACATTCACCAGAAACAAACCGAGCACCAAACCAAGTGGAGACAAAGCATCTTTATTCATAAAGCACTTTAAAAATGCATAAAGAAATGAGACACTGCGAATTAACTGAATAATTTGAATTAAGACAAAAGTGAGATCACAAAACAAATCAAACAAATAACTTTGTCTGAATAAAAAAGTTGAAGAAACTGTTTAAAAACTGAATCTGAAAAAAAAAAAAAACACAAATAATTTAAAAGCAGAAAAACAAAGAATGAAAAAGAACCAACAAAATAAATTAGCAAGATAAAAAGTGAAACGTGCAGATAAAATAGAGCAAATTTCCATATGCACGGCACAGCGATTCTGGTCATTTGTCCATGTTTTTTTCCTAATGTTAGCCCGATTCTTTAGTTGGAAGCCTGAGAATAAACCAGAGCAGATCAAGAGAACAAATATGAAATTTAATGGTCACAAGCCTCGATTTCCGGGTGTGATGGACAGTTTTCCTCTGGGAAACAGTAACACATATACATTTAAACTATAACATCATCGATATAATGGGAGGACCCGTTTAAAAAAGGCACCCAACTTACAAATTATTTTCTTTTTTCAGACTGAAATAATGAAACCATTTTTTAAACATCGATGGGCTCTTCACATAACACTGTGGAAAATACTTCTCTCTGTAATGGCATATTTCTACATTTTTACACTCAAACAAAAAAGCTAGAGAGTTTAACCCAAAAGTATAATTCAAAGGGGAATAAAATCAATCTAAAAAGGAATAAGACAATCAGTCATTTACATTGATTTAGTTATAGTATACTATGCTAAAGCGAGTAATTATAGCCCAATTCTAACACTAAACAGCCAAATACTTTGAGTGAGATAATCACTTTGATAGCTTTTAGAATAGGAGGTGTATATCCATATGGAGCGATGTAAACTGAGAGCGCTCAGCATCTCGTGTTTACAAACAAAGCTAATATAAGGCAGGCTGGAGCAGAGTGGGCGGGATGTGGAGGGACGTAAAGCCAGAGCCAAACGGGCAGGAACGAGGCTCCCGAGGCTGAATCTGAAACAGACATCTCTGGTTCGGTGACAGGCGGAATGGAAAAAAAAAAGACCCGTTCGGGCTCGTGAACGATGATTCACTTCTGAGGACACAACCTGGTGTCTCCCATCAGCCTCTGTAGTGGATTAATATCTCACAATGAATATATTCTTATCACAATGATTAACTCATTGGCTGCCAAAGACGTCTATAAACGTCATTCAAATACAACCGTTGACTGCCAAAGACGTCTTTTATGTTTTTCAACGCGAGTGTCTGGGAGACGATCTGCTAAAGCTTGTCCGTAAATATCGGCTTCTAGACAGAGTGTGTAGTAACAAATTGACCCTCTAGGGGGCAGTGCCACTTTTGATGGGAGATGAGCATAGACTGTAGGCAAATAAGAAAAAGGTAACAGTTCGCTATGAGAGAACATGTCGCCGGTGAGACGCAAGTCGAGGAAGAACGGAACAAGGTAGAAACTAATTTTTTTTCCTGATGAAAAAAGAGAGTCTACTCTTTCTTTTGGTGTGTTCGGTGTTTACATAGTCATAGCACAAACTATTCTGTGGCTCTTGAAAAATCAGTCAAAATGCTCAAAAAACTCTGGCAGTATGGGACTCTGTTCTGAAAATGGCTGCCAGTCAATGAGTTAATGGTTTGCCTTAAACATGTATCAAGAGAAGGTTGTATAAGAAAATGATGTGTGATGTGTAAGAACTTGGTCCGGAGGTTAACTCTTACCTAAGTGCCTGTAAGTGCAAGAAAACAAGTTGTGCAAACATATGCAATGTCTAAGGGTCAATGGATAGCTGTAGGTAGAAGGAACAGCCACGTAAACATACAGGACCTGTCTCAGAAAATTAGAATATGGTGATATAGTTCTTTATTTTCTGTAATGCAATTAAAAATCATGAAATGTCATATATTCTGGATTCATTACAAATCAACTGAAATATCGCAAGCCTTTTATTGTTTTAATATCGCTGATTATGGCGTACAGCTGAAGAAAACTCAAAAATCCGATATTCTAATATTTTGAGATAGGATATTTGGGTTTATTAAGCTGTGAGCCATATTTACGTTGTTTATGATCATTAACAAGACGTTAGCCTTGAACTGCTAGCTGCGGCTAATGGCTAATAATAACGTGCTAAAATTAATCATGGGTCAATACTCATTAAAACCTTAAAGTAATCAAAAAGTAATCAAAGTAATTAATTACCATTACCTTTTAAAAGTAATCGAAAAAGTTACACTACAATTACATTTTAAACAAGGTCACTTTTAACTGTAACGGATTACATTTTTAAAGTAACTTACCCAACACTGGTCGTCAGGAGGACATCCACGACAGCTCCGAACGCTGCGTTCGGGGGTTCGAATCCGGCTTTTTTGTGTTTATTACAGCGGTTTCTTCTGCTCCTGAATGAGTACAGAGCCACAGACAACACACTTATGTAAACACGAGGCTCATTAAAATGCATCTCCGCTGGTTTCACAGGGACATTAGCGCAGAATCAAAGTGACAGCTGACACAGAAACGTCTGGGAAGGGATGGAAAGGAATGTTTATGAACACATGAAGGATTCATTCATTCAGGAGAGTTACATTTGCTCTGGAGAACATTAGGAAACCTCACAAAAAGAGGCGGTTTGAGGAGGAGATGATGGGAAAGAAGCTCCCCAAAACTAAATGATTCCTTCAGAGGAAGAGAACAGATTACGGGACTGTTAACCCGATTCTTTAGTTGGAAACCTGAGAATAAACCAGAGTGGATCAAAGGCAAAGAGCCCTGAGATCTGGGTGATGGGCATTATCTCCTGGGCTCCATCCTCCTCCTCAAAGGAGGACTGGACACAACCAAGTCCTATTGGCCAGTTACCTCTGGGCAGGAACAGGCCAGGTCCTAATTCATGCAGATGACAGGAATGTGCTAACAAATGGTGTGTGTGTGTGTGTGTTGACCTAAAGGTGGATCTAATGCAACAGAGAGAGAAAAAGAGAGAAAAGGAGAGTCTGTGGACACAGACAGAGACTTCAACACAAAATAAAATAAAACAATCAGTAATTTACATAGATCATGTGTTAGCATACAATGCTAAAATATATATATAATTTAGCCAAATGAGACCCAGAGAGAGGTTTTTGTCTGTCAGAACCCAGCTGATATACTTAACTGTGACCCAATAAATGTAATTTTTTATACTTTTGATCCACCTTGGTTTATTCTCAGGTTTCCAACTAAAGAATCTGGCAAACATTAGTACACCAAAAAAGCAAAACAAGGCTTAAAATGACCAAAGAAATACACCAAAATACAAAAAAACAAGGCTAAATTGACCAAATATACACCAAAAAGCAAAAACAAGACTTACAATTATCAAAAAATGCAGCAAACAAAGCAAAGAATTGAGCTAAAAAGACCAGAACTTATACTTAACTGCGACCTAATAAATGTCAACTTTTTACTTTTTATCCACTCTGGTTTGTTCTCAGGTTTCCAGCTAAAGAATCGGGCTAACATTAGTACACCAAAAAAGCAAAAACAAGGCTTAAAATGACCAAAAAATACACTAAAATACAAAAACCAAGGCTAAATTGACCAAATATACACCAAAAAGCAAAAACAACACCTACAATAACCAAAAAATGCAGAAAAAAAGAAAAAATTGAGCTAAAAAGACCAGAACTTATACTTAACTGTGTCCTAATAAATGTAAACTTTTTACTTTATCCACTCTGGTTTGCTCTCAGGTTTCCAGCTACAGACCTCCAGAGCTCCACGCTTCCTCCCACACGCTCACACTTCACCGGAGGAGCGGACACGTGCCGATGGGGTTCGCGTTGCCATGGCGACGGGGGCTCGTACCTGAGCCGGTCAGTCCCAGAGACCTGTTAACAAACAGATGAGTGTGTTTTTATTTTAATAAAACAGGAGGTTAATGTCCGGGAGAGGCATGGAGGTGGGTGTCAGAAATGATTACATATTTTCCTCTGGAATGGGAACACGTCAGATTAATTAGGGACTCTAAATTTGCTGTAGTATGCAGAATTTTCCTCTCTTTAAATCTATGTGTATTTAACTTTAAAGGGACTACACCTATAATTGAGTTATACCATTAAGGACAATTAATCCAGGGACTTTTTGAGGAATACGAACCATCAGCTAAGCAGAAAAAGGCCCCATCGGGACCCCAACTACAAAAAAAATTACCTGGAGTGCCAGAAAATACTCGACTTCAATAATAAGAGATGTGGCTTTATGTATTTTAACATAAGAATTGAGGATTTTTACAGAGGATGCTGCAGTGTGACGTGGAAACAACAAAAAAGAGAGGAAATCTGATCCATGGAGGTCAAATTCCTGATTCCACAATCTGTTTTTTGCATTTCTACACTTTTAAAATCAGATTTTAGCGTGTTTTTTGCATTTCTACACTTTTAAAATCAGATTTTAGCTGCACCTTTTTCCTTTTTTTATTATAAAACACGTAAAACATGATTTAATAGAGCCAGAACTCCAACTTGAACGCATCCAGACGAGGAAACCCGTCTCCTTTATGCCTCGTTTTGAGCCGATAGTCTGTGAAATAACCGTCTTATAGTCTCGCGCCGGAGTTTGTTCACAACCAGAATGTGTTATTTGCCCTGGTGATA